CAATGCTCATGGTGATTGAAATTAACCATTAATTGCAGGCCAATCGAATGCACCCAAGATCTAGATCCATCCATTAAAGCGTTAGCGCACCAACCGATGCAGTCATAGGATAAAACACTACACAGCTAAAGCTGTGCACACCACACCACCAATTATCAGTCTCACTGTTCATATTTAGTTATTGAGTTAGCGGTCAAAATGAAAAAGGATAACATTCAACTACTTGGCACTCATTGTCTGCAGTCGAAATTCTGCCTTCTTCTTGTTATAACCTTGCTATAAGCCGGATGTTCGCCCGCCGAAAGTGCCTCGATCGAATCCCCAGGAGAGAACGTCACAGGAAGGGTGGAAGAATGGAAGTGTATTGGCGTACTTAGTATAGCGTATTAAAGGCCAGAATGGGAGCATACGCGTATGTACAAGGTAGGACTGCAATCAAACCAATCCTGTAGTGTATTTGAGGGGTTAGCATGCCAACTGGCTTTAGGCCTCATCCGAGTAGTTATGCAAAGCGCTAGCCTCGTCGGCAGTTTGTGCGATATCATCACGCGTTCGGCCTATAGGCCGATTCGTTGTGCGGTGTTTGATGATTCATCAGACTGGCATGCGAGCGCGTCCGGTATGGATGCTCCTAACAGTCCTGAGGGGGCTCTGCTGCACAAACAGCCACAAACCTAATCGTTTCTTTCTGTCATGCACCGTCTACTTCAACAGTCATAATCCCGCCCAAAATTAAAATTTACACCAAAATTACGCAATTAATTAGGCAACTCTTATCGCCATTATAGTATAGTGATAATGACGCGTCGAGTGATAGCAAATCCTAACGACCACGGCATGCTGAGTCCGGCCCGCAGGAGACGAGAGAACCACGAGATGACTAATTACCCCCTCCTCCCCCCACCTCAAGAACCGTATCAGCACTGTACCGAACTGCCTGCTTTAGTCGCCTATTTTCCATGTCACTGTAACGGCCTGAAAGAAATGACCGAAAACAGCTGTTTGCAACAAGACTTTTCAATTGTAAACGAAATGGGAATTTTTGCCGAAATCTGAAAGCGTTGGCGATAGTAGAAGTTGGTGTGTTCTGTGGTTCCTCAGTAGTATGGCTACCGGCAGTTCGATCGTTGCAAACGACGTCCACCGCGACTACCGGCAATGCAGTTGGAATATATTTGGTTATAAGTAGATAGAATGGTCTGCAAGGCGACTGCGCACTGGAATAGTCATTTCTGGCTCAATAACCGTGATCAGCCAGTCATAACCAACCTCCAAGTGGTACACCAACCAAGGCTCGAACCCGCGGGTCCGCTGTCTTGCCGGTTTAGATCGGGAGATACTGACACTCGTTGATCAACGTTCACTGATGGCTAACGAAAATCTGCCTTGACTACTAGCCGCTGTGTGGGGCTTGAAAATGGGCCCAAGGCACAGCGCGACGACTGAATTCCGTTAGCGGTCGGTGAACGTTAATCAATGTGGATGTGGTTATAATGAAACCGACTTTCGGTGCATTTGTCACAGTACTGCCGGTTTCTTCTTTTATACCCAGAGAGCAAGCCAATGTCAAGAGTATCGGAAGTGAACACGCTGCAATGGCTAGCACAGCCAGATAGTTCGTCTACGCGTGCTACACGTGACCTGGTTTTTGCTGCATCTGTACCAAGCAAGTACAAGTGTCGGTCCAAGTACCGAATCTCTCTTACGTGTGCTGACTGTGAGAAGCATGAGTCTGGTAGTGCAATCAGTTGGTAGTGTTTCTATACAAAGATATAAGCACTAGCGAAAACAGGTCCCAGCGATCTAATCTTCTTGTTCTCGCTATAAACACCCTTAAGCATACCGTGTTCGGATTTCAGGTTAATACAATGCAGTAATATGGCACTAGTGCCACCATGAACTCCATTAGAAACTGCCAAAACATTAACTTATGCTCACTAGAAACTCATAAACTGCAATCGATTTGCTTCATTTTTACAGTGGGTCGTTCTTTTAGAAGGGCGCCTTGCTAGGGGATCAAAATAAAAAAAATGGATGATGTAGACTGAGATGTGAACGGTAGCGATGATCACATCACAAGTTAAGGCGAACCTCCATGTACTCCTTGACCCTTTCGATGGCAACAGCACTGCTCTCCATTTGAGCAGTCATCTTTACTAGCCAGGACAGAGACTCCGGGACGGCCAGAACGTAGGAGATGAGGAAGCCGGCCATGCCGGGTGGCATTTGCCCGCGCATGGCTACCGTGAGGGCGGCCGTAAATGTCAAGAACAGACAATTCAGCATCTATGGAAATGAAAGGGAAGAGGAGAAAACCATAGGGCACTTAATGTTTATATGTACAAACTCCAGAAAAAGTAAAAGGTCATTTTCGAATGGATTACGAATGGAAACAACAGTGGTATTTACCGACAAACGAAGAGCACACTCACGAAGCTTTTCTGCCTCATTGGGCGTCATCAGGTGGTAGTAGCTCAACTCCAGCGTAACAGCGGAACTTGCCGCCACGCTCGAGTTTCGAACTCGTGTCTCTCCGGCCAGAGGCGAACGCTCTAACGCCTGAGCCACGGGTCCACCGTGTTGTCGGTTTGTGATCGGGACTATATGTGAGTGGGAAATTATAATCCGATCTGTTTCAGGATGAACCCATCCTGGTTGATGGTTTGTTTGGAAACAACAGTGTAAAAATATTGGCAATTTTATTATAAATCGTGGCTGCGAGGGAGTTTCAAATGCGCCATCCCGCTATATAAGTACATCTTGTTTCCTTGGTATAGTTTGATGAGCAGCTTACTTCTGTCCGCAGGAATTCACTGGTATGATTAGAATTATCAAGACTTGCGCGATAATGGAAACGAGGGCCGCTGAAATGAGGAAATGCCACATAACATTATATCCAACTACTGAAACGAAATAAGTAGCCTAGTATATTGCTATATTTTACAGATTCGTGTGCATACAGGCAACTGCTTTTAAATCCGACCTAGCAAGCATGTAGGATATCGGTAAAGGGATACTAAGTTGTTCCAGTGTTATGCAACAGATAATTTAAGTTTGTGGAAGCGGAGCATCGCATCAGTAGTTTCGCTCTTAAGATGATTAAATACCATTAGAGGCAAGATCAGAAAGGAAGG